TTCCGCTTTTAAAAGCTTATCTTGTTGATACTTGAGTTGAGCTATTACACAGTGGAACAAGCAAACAGAATGAATGGACCCTCTGCGGGCAACTTATGGCAACAGAAAAGCTTCCATGTGCTTTTGAATGTGTCTCTTGTCTTGGAATTGACAGTGATGTTTAGCATAGATGTTTCCTGCGAAGAAAACGTGATGGTATAGAGCCAGGAACAGGCTAAAAAGAAACATGCACAGAAAAAGTGTTCAGCACTTAAGCTTCTTTGCAACTCTAAGCAACATTTAGAGACCAGTTTTGTAAAGGTTTGCTCATGTGAGCTGCCCTGCTGAAATGCAAAGAGCTGCTTTTTTTTTTCCTCTCTAGAATGGCTAATTTGATTAAGAATTACTTTCAGGTACAAAATGAGTAAGTAAAGTGTATTCCCTCAATCTTCTATGGAACTTTAAAGCAATCAGCCTGAGAATAAAGCTAGGTTTTTATCCATGCACACACATACATATTGCATGTATAAGCAGATCAGAGCAAAGAAACAAAAATGTTCCCATATGATGGATGGACCACCCAGAGACATACAGAAATCTATTAATTTTATTCTATCACTTGGACTCTAATTTAACAAAACATCTAACAGTGTCATGAATTTTTCTATCATGAAGGAAGTGTTACAATCATCTGATCTGATTTCCTGCATAATGTAGACTGTAGGATTTCCCCAAGCAATTCTGACTTGCACATCCATGCACTCTAATTCAAACTGTAAAAGTTAGCAGCAGCAATAATTATCAGACTTAGGTTCATGATTAGTGAATCTTAAACTGTTACCTTCTTAACACATCTCCTTTTGTGAATGGTGCTGTGCTTCACCGTCCCCCGAACTACACACCAGTCTGACTATAGACTCCACATGACCTCCAGGCAGGAAAATCTCTCTCCTGAAGCCTTAATGGAGGTGTTGTCTGAGCAAGCACAGACCCTGAGTGACATGTGCATTATTCTGTGTGCGGATGAACATTTGGCTCTCAGACCATGCTGGACAATCTGTGAGAGTTGAACTTGACACCTAACAGTCAGACTTGTAACTTGGGTCTCACAGCGATGATGATTCTTGCTATATGACTGCTGTTCTAAGCCATTAACCTTAGTTAAGTGGCCCGTTCTAGTTGTCATAGGTGACCCATGGATATACAGTTCTTTTTCCTGAATTCTTGGTGGTGATTTTGGCTTAAGGAAAAGCTATTCCTTTACCCTTCCCCACCTCTTCTGCTTTCTGTCACTTTCTCTTTGTGCTTATGCAACAGTTACAGGGTTATGAAAAATAGGGATGAACCTTAGAAGTAAATCCAACTATTTTCCTGTTCTATTAAAGAAGTGAGAAACCTTCTTCAGGGGGCATTGATACATTCAGAAAACAATGATAATTTGGAATAAATATGGAAGGAATTCCTATTTTCTGCTTTTATGACTGTATGAAAAGTTGAAAAATTTTTGCATTTAAAAAAGAAATAACATCAGTAGGTGTACAGGTTGCTTTCGCTTCCTGGCATTATTTAGTCACTTTCTAAATATTATATTTAGTTCATGTTTAAAATGAAACTGTTTCCAAACAAAGTGCAGAGAAGACAGAATTCTGAAAATGGAATATCATCCCACAGGTTTTTTTTTTCTTAACTAAAAAAATTACTTTAATTAAATGAAAAAATACTAATTTTTCTTGACACCTTTTCTGAAAAGAACCTATTTGGCTAGCTTTATTGGTTGTTGTTACAAATGCATATATAGAGAGAGTTTGGCTGGAGATTGCTCAGCAGGTTCTGCTGAGGAGAAGCTCTCACTGGTCAGAGGAATAAATTTCCAAAGGATATCAAGGTTATTAACAACTCTAGAAACCACTACCAAAACAAAACAAAAAAAAAAAAGCAACAAAAAACCAACAACAAAAACAACATACAATTCATTTTAACTGAGATATGAATCTGCCTCTGGTCAAAAGACTTCCTTTTCACTTTCTGAGTGCTTTTCCTTGCGGCACATTTTGATTTTGAGGTTGTGATGCTGCCTGGATGGGGCTAGATGCTGCAGCCCACTCTTTTTTTTTGTCAAAACCTGGTTGTTTTATGTGCTGTGCATTTCAGGTTTGACCCAGAGTGTGCTACATTTTAGATGGCCAGGGAAATTGGTTCTTGTGTTCACATTTTATTTAACTGGATGAAATTGTTTGCTGTTTTTCTAGGACAATGCTATGTAATCTTTAATTTTTTCTGGTTCCAAGCACACCTAAATGTTGATCTTGAGTAATATTTTGTTGTTCTTTTATTCTCCTTCCTTTCTTGTCCCTACCACAATTCTGTCTTTTATACTTTTTTTATCACTTCTTACCCCACAGGCTTCTAGCATGACAAGTCTAATTACTACCTCTTTTTGTTCCCATGTACAGGAAAACAAGGATGCTGGCCTTACTCAGGGAAGGGAGGACTAGACAACGCATTTGGATAAATGCCTTGCCAGTTTTGAAATGTCTTGTAAAATTCTATTAATATTTCTCTGCCATGCATGAGGCTTGCATCAAGTGCCTTTTTCAACAGCATCACTGTAGACAACCATTTATCAGGTGTATATTGTATGGCAGTGCAGTGTTTGAAAATTCCATTTGCCATATGTTATTCATGATCCTTGCTCACAGCCTTCATTTGTCAGGGGATTTAGATCTCAGCTGTGTTTAGTTTTTGGGGCTTGAGAACAAGTTGACCCACAGGCAGACACCTAATGATATAATTTGTTCAGTGCAAAAGGTTTGACTGCCCTCTATCAACCTTTATGCAGACAACTCCTTTGAATACAGTAATGGATGACAATATCAAAAGCATAAATCTCGGCAAACTTCAAGGTTTCCTGGAAAACATGACTCTTAAACTTTAGGCACATAGACATTTGGCACAATGTCAGAAACTTTCTGAACTATTCATTTATCCAGCTCTGGCCAAAAATAACCAAAGACTCTATGTGTCTGTTGATTTGTTTTGAAATCCATTCAAAACGGCAAAGAAGTTAAAAAGTAAAAGACCGGCAATTGAGAAATAAGACTTCTGAAGTATGAAAGATCCTTTTCTGTATCTTACAACATGTGGAGCTAACAAGCCAGGTCATGTCCCTCATACAAAATGCTTTCTGTGAACTTAGTGTGGTTAAATAGCAAGTAGAAATGACATAGTTCAGGTTCTTTATGGTTTAAGAGAGTAGTAAATAAAGGCTTTGCTGGAGGAATTGCTTTGTAGGAGAAGAACACACTGACAACTGTGGGCTCACCCTCTTGGGCAGTACAGCACTGCCAGAGTAATGGTCATCTTAAGTCTTGTTGACTTCAAGGGCCCAGGTTTTCTTTTTTTTGGTTTTACAACTGTCTCATGTTTAACTTTAACCCTCCTGTGTGACACCCCCTGGCTTTTTAGTCTTCCTTTTCTATGCATGCTTATTCTGTTTCCCCCCACACTACCCCTACTAGGAGGAGGAGGAGAAACCAATTGTTCTCTTCTCTACTTCGCCTTCCCTTGTCTTTCCCCTTCTCATGCATCCTCCTCTCCTAAGCAGAGGGGATGGTCAGTAGACATCTCAATGCTGCCCATTCTTCTCTCATTTTGTCTTATTATTCAATCTTTTTGTTGCCTTGCCTGGAAGGACCTGTTGCTGTGACACAGAACATCCTCAGCTTGAGACTGGAGATGTGCCCTTGAAAGAACATGTCACAGTTCGGCTGGGCCTCAACCTTTCCGTCACTATTAGGTTTCATTTTAAATTACAAGAAAATAGGATAAAATAAAGATTTGTTTCCTTATACCCCACCACCCCCACCCCCACCCCTCTCAACTTATTTTTGCCAACACAGTCTCTCTAAGCAACTTTAGTAGCACCATAGACAGGTAAACTGGACGGCACTGTTCCCCATCTCCCTTGTTATATACCCAGTATCTCTTTTAACAGCTTGAGGTTTTCTTCATTAAATTCTTCTTCACTCTCTCTCATTCATTCCAGAATGCTTACATATCCCAACAGAAGTGATCAGAAAAGAAGGGCAATTATTATAATTTATGAAAATGGCATTTGCTTTGTTACTGCTTCATGCTATTCCTCTTGTTATTCAGTAGATGAAGGAATTACAGTATTTTTCATCTCCATTTTTATCTATGCAACGTCTACTGAAAGAAAAGACAAAACACCCTTATTTCTGTTTGGAGCCCTTGGTTGCACTGTATAATCCCTGTAATAGTGACAATAGCAGCAATAATGCAGTAAGTCATAGAGCAGTTTTCCAAAAAAAACCCAGCACACAGATTGCACAAGTCCTTGCAAGGGATTTGTGACAAACTGGCTGGCAAAAGGAACAGCATCCTCTGAGTTTCAACTGCTTCTACAGATGCAGATCTGAAGATGCAACAAGATGTCTGTCTGAAAGCCAACCTGCTTATGAAAGAGGCAGGAACAGAAACTATGCTCTACTCTCAGATAGTAATCATCCTGTAGACTGCAAACATTGGAGTATGGCTTTTAGGTACCTTGAGGGGAAATTGCACTTTTTTCATTGTGTGTTCTATGCATATGAAACAAAGGTGGACAAGGAAGGCCAGTTGGCTGCGAAGTATAGGTACTGGAGAAGAAGCAAAGACAGGAGCAGAACTGACTGGAAGAGAGATATGGCATAAAAAGGGAAAGTGGGCAGCAAGTTTTAACTTTCAGAAGACAGGGAATTAACTTCCTGTACATAAATTGGAGACTGCTGTGTCTGTCTCAGGTATACATCTTCAGCACAGCTGAAGAAGAGCTTCTGTGTTTGAAAGTTTTTTCTCTTTTCTCTGGCTGTAGGAGCTCCTTTTCTAACAATCTAATGAAAAAATACTTATTACTTATCCCAATAAAAGGTGCTTAATTTTTAAAAAGAGCAACAAAGATTATTTCAATAAACATACAAGGGCAATACTCATACATGAGAGATGGCTATACTTACTTTTCCACATCAGGTGCTTACAGCAGGTGCTACGGATGCATTAACAATTCATGAACATAGCTGGGCTTGTGCATGAATGTGACATCTTCACTAAGGAAATGGTCTGGTATATTCAGCCCAGAAGCAGCAGCATCCTGTTGCAAAACAAGAATATCTTTCTTGCTGTGTGGACCTATCAGGTAATTCACTCTTTTACAAAAACATCAGGTTTTGAGGTAGAAAGATAATGAATCCATCAGCCACTCTGAGGATAAATCAGTTGTCAAATGCTTTCAGCATGTAAGTAGCTAATTAAGAAAGAGCATCATTGCAGTGTTTTGACATTTGCAAATGGGAGATGTAGAGCTCCAGAATTTGGCGCATCTGAAACTGTAGAACATGTGTGTAGCTTGGCTCTGCTCAGAGCACAAGTTATCCCGATCTTTTTCTGTGAATTATTTGGCAGGACTTGTTCTTCTGCCCCCACAAAACTGTCAATTTTCAATAGTAAATCTCAGTTCTAAGTATTCTATCCTAATTCTGCATCCAGGCCTGATGTAAATCAACTAGTTTCCTCCAGAGGGCCTATGCTGGTTTCTGCCAGCTCAGTATCCGGCTCTGAGTATTTCCTCATTGTTTCTCCTGGTTTGACCAGTCCTTGCTCCCCTCTCTAACTAGGCAGAGTGAAAAGTTGTAGTAGGCATGCCCTGGTTTTCTTATCTCAAAGGAAACTCCTTTTCCTTTCAGATTCCCTGTACAATCTGGCAGGACCACCCTCATTCATCTCTGTCTCACCTTGAAACTCCCACTAAGGCACAGTATTGCCAGACAATTTTGTACATTATGGGGAAACCTTATCCAAGAAAATATAAGACTCTGTGGTAATTGGTTTTGGATAAAATATTTCTCCCCTTGGATAATCCATGTCACGGCAAAACTGAGATACACTGAGGGGGTCCATTACAGAGCAGTGGCCACTAGCCTATTCTCCTGTAGAAGGCTCTGTCTCCTTCTAGAAAAAAAGGGAAAACTCACTAGGAAAAAAAAAACAACTATTTAGTCTTGTAAGTGTGAATAGGGAAGCTTTAAAGTAAATCAAGATGAGAGCTGAAAGACTCTTGCAGTGTCTGGTCATGAAAGGTACTAGAAGGTCATATTTGTTGAAGGTTTTAAACACTGAAATGCAGTGGAGGGACAGCTGGCAGCAGAAGGGATTGTGTCTACTGATGCTTACGAAGGTTAGCTCAGATCCTAGTGCCAGCATGGCTTTCTTTGAGGGCTGGCTACCTCTGCCATTAAAGGGAAATGATAGAAGTTGCTACCCTGCAACCTACAAGTAGTCAAAAGAGAAGAGAATCTTCTTCTGAAACAACCTTTGGGGAAAACAAAGTGAAAGGAGTGAGCACAGTGGTTTAGTCTGGCTAATAGGCCTAAAAGAACTTGGCTTGGGGCCTGCTGGCAATCCTAAACAAATATTTACTCAGTCTTATCAAGTCCATTAACTCTTCATATATGTATTCTCACACAGTGTTCAGCCAAATCATCAGAGTTCATTTTTAATGTATATTTCTATATGTCAGGAAAGTGTAAACTTTCATTTCATCCAGCTTTTATTTAACAGATTTGGCAACTTTGGACTTTGATCTTTAAGTTGGCACACCAGCACTGCAATGAACGGACTTAAGCTAAGAAGTTCTCAGTAATGCACACTTAGGCTGTTTGCATTTCACCGGTGCAGTTACCATTTTAAATTCCTGATGCTTACTGTGGCAACTGCACAGTAAAACCCATCAAACTTTCTTTTATTCTTCGAATTGCTAAGAATGTCACTTCAGCTAAGTCATAAGTCATGAAAAACAGAAATACAATAAATGTGCCATTATAATCTATAGGAAATTATAGGAAATATTTTAAGAGAGTCAGAAACATGCAATTACAACACATCTACATTGGATGAAAGTGCCTAAGAACAGACTGTTCCTCTGAAGCCTAATAATAAAATCCTCCAAAGGAAAGATTCCATAAATCTTGTCCTACCGTAATGAACTGAATCCGGGAAGAAAAGAACATCAGGAAGCCTTGCTTTGGTTGCTAGCCATGAAAAGAACTCAAAACCTCACCCTCTGGAAGGATTCTGTAAGAGAAGAATATTTATTTTTCTATGTACTTACCTACAAATGAATTCAGTTGGATGGCAATTACATGTGCTGTGGAGGGTTAAATATATTATTCAGTTAGGATCTATTGATAACTGGTACCTTCTGCCTTTACACAAATCCTTAACTTCCATTTTTCTCCTGATTCATACAAAACCAAATAATTCTTTCCTTCAGAGATTTTCTGCAGGAAGGAAGCACGGTGAGGCAAATCCTCAGGGCAGTGACAAACAGTAGTTTTACAACCACTTTTACCAAAGCAATGAACTATAGACAACTTACATTTCATATCCTTCCAAGGAGAGTTTGGAGAATATTCTGTGGGGTTGAGTGATGTTTTCTCTAGATCTTTCTTGATACAGAGATCTGAGTTAGATTTTACTTTTTTCTTAATTGCTCTTCACCTTGTTTGAATTGGCTAATCAGCTGGAAACTGCAAGGATGAAATATATATTTGCTTTAGAAGATTCTCTGTCCCCCTTGTATATGAAGTCAAACAAATAGGATACACACACGGGCTGAAAATGATTTTGGAGAAAGGGCTGTAGCCTCTCTAGGAAATATTGTGTGGTTCCCTCATAAGGAAGACTTTCAGTGGGACTTAACATTCTGTGGTTCTTGAAATAGACAACTCCTTACCACAGAGATGGAATACAACCAGTGTGAAGTTGAGCAACCATAACCATGGTTTAATATCTTGGACAAGGTGGATTTTTGTCTCATGGCCTTCCATGAGACTGCCCCCTATATCCTTGCAACTATCCCACAGAAAAGGCAGCCACCCTGCCCTTCCAGGCAGCCCAAGCACCAAGGGCTCTGCATCCTCCAGCCAGACTGAAGGGGAGAGAGCCAGGAAGATGACACGCTGAAACAGGGGAAGCAAAGGAAAACAGAGGGAGAGAGATGTGAAACCTGATCCACCAAATAACATTAAGACTGATTTTCCACTCTATCTAGTAGGTCAAATGATCTTATAATGCAGTGTTAGAGAGAAAGAAGATGGAAATATTTTCATTTTCTCTCAGAGTCAATATTTCCCTAGTTGAAAATTAATCGCTGTAAAAGAAGTTTAAGGGGAGTCTGTCAAGGTTTATTTAGGCTTCAAAATAACTCTTTAAAACACTGGCTTTTGTTGTTGTTGCAGGTTTAGAGGTCAGAATTTCCCTCCACAGAATTCTTCTCTTGATAAATGATCTTTGCAGCAGCCAGCCAGGTATTTTTTTTTTTTATTTTAAAGTGACTTCTTGTGTGTCCTGCCATAAGAAAAACTGTGCAGATACGGGGGAAAAGGTAGAGCATCCACTTCCAGCCCTATTAATGTCTTATGAATCAAACAAGATGACTTACATTTTTTCTGGTTTTGTTTTTAAATACCATTGCAATGAATCTTCATATACGAACCTGTCACCTGATTCTGAAGCAATTGGGTTTTGAATTTAGAAAACGCCTTATGAAGTTACTGTTATTAACTCATGGAAACCTCCAGTAGAATGCCTGGACTAATGACAGCTGGCCATTACCTGTGGATATGCAGCTTACTGACATTTGTCATCTGGAAACTAGGTGTAAATTAGAAGCTGAGCTGGAAAGAATGTATTCGAAGAAAGAGGGAGAAGAACTTTTCTATGCGCTATGACATTAAATACTCTTTTCACTAGAATCTTTGCCCCCCCCAGACACAGAAATTCAAGATTAAAAAGATATACCAAGCCAATTAGTCTCTCCCCATTGGTGTCATCTGAACTGGATTACTCAGGCAAAGTTTGGGTTCTGTTTTACAGCTGCTTTTAGAAGCAGCCTGGATCTGGAAATGGAATGCCTCAAGGAAACAACAACTAACACAGCTTTCTCTCTGTCACTTTTTTTGCCCTCAAAAATCTGTGCAATTCACCAGGAGGGCTGTTAAGACCAACAACAGGAGCAAAGCTGGCTGCACCTCCCTGTGACTTAACCACAGTGGAAGGCAGGAACCTCACTGAGGGCCTGTGACTTCAAAATGTTATTTCTTCTTATCATACATCAGAACACATCTGTAGAAGCTTTCTGGCAGAGATACCAGATGTTTTGGTTCTTTATCATCACAGATTCATTATTTCTTGTTTGTTCAAGGTTTGTTTATGGTTTTACATTTTGTTTCTTCAGTGACAACTTTAATTATTCAGTGTAGGCACTTCTTATTTTGCTAGACACTTTTAATATTCTACTGCTATATACCAAGGGAGCTTTTCAAGTTGGTAATAACAAAAATATTAATGAGTAAATAATGTTTTAGCTCTAGCTACTGTTGCAGCAATTATTTTTTTTTTTGGCACTCCTTCTTTAAAAGGGAGCTTCCCTTAAGAATTTACTTAAGACCTAATGATTTTGGTTCACTGTAAATGTAATGATCTCTCTTTAACCCATATACTCTGGAAGATAGTAGATCTTTCCCTGGGAGGTGACTGGAGCAAATCACTATGACATTTCTTATCTGGAGGCTAAGAATCAAACTGGGACATGAAGTGCCTCCCAGACTGCCACAGCCTCCCTTGACCACAGTGCTGTGCAACTTCATACAGGTTGATATAATCTATTTTTTTTACAACTGACAGCCAGTGTTTTACACCAAAGTCTTAAAGTCTAACCTACCGAAACCCAGCTACACAAAAGATGGTTGCATGTGCTTCCCTCTGTCTTGTTTGTTTATTGTCCTATTGGTGAATTGCTGACACCAGGCAAGGATTCAGCAGAATATTGCCAGTGTTTACTGAACATGCTCAGTGGGTCTGCACACTGTATGGATGGGCTGTTGGCCATGGAGCACCACTACACTATGAGGAATATGGTTTCACCTCTCTACAGAGGGGTGCAGGCAGTGAAGGGTAAAATGGGCAACAGGGAAAGGACTGAAATGGAGGACCAGACTTTGAGCTGTCTGGAAACCAGGGATCACAAGCCATGAATCATGCAGTAAATACAGAGCCAAACGTTTGGATGAACAGAGCCCTTAACAATTAATTAATTGTTGACTTTAACAGCCTGTGCTGCAGATGTGCTATCATTTCTACAGAGCAGTCCCTCACCAATCTCTTCAAGTTGTTTACAAAGTAATTGGTAAATGCAAAAAAGGGAAAAAATAACCCAAAACATTCTGGTACAAGAGTTGCTGCCACAAACACATGGATGCGTAGGCGTGCACACGATGAAAGTAGGAGAAAGGTTGAAGTCTGCATGATGCTTGATTTTATGAGAGTTTATGAATGCCCCTTGGAAAAGATTTCATGTCTTATTCTCCCATGCTTCCTGGATTTTGATGTTTCCCATAAAAAAAGGCAGAATATCCCTTCATTTACAAAATGAGTTGGATTTAACTCTATAATTTGTAAATATTTATACATATTTCCAAAGAATACATGGGCTGAACTGCATTTTTTCCTGATTACTTATATGCCTCAATATATCATCTTAGCTCCCACATCTTGTACTTGCAAAACTGAACTTTCAGATGAAAAGTCTGTACAAGATGACAACAAATCAGCAGACAGTCTCAAGAGGAGCAATCTTCGTGGCATGCAACTCAGACCTAATCAAATGTGATATGAACTTATTTTCCATTACATTTTTTTCAGGTTTGTGGCTGCAAAAGAGCTTTCTGATATTAGACCCAAGTCCTACAAGCACTCATGCACATTTTACACTATATTCAGAGATAAAGATGTCCCACTGCACTCAGCAGCATAACTTTGTGCCAAGTGCCCTCAAGATTAAAGCTCAGGTGATTTGAAGCTTATAGGCAACATGGACTACAGAACAGTCATTTCATTTTTTAGAATACATTTCTTCCATTGATATTTCCCATGCCATTTCAGCATGAGGCATAACTGCTTTTTTAACTTGTAACACACTTATGCAACTTAAAAGTATTACAAACAAGGGTAGGAGGAAGTTGAAACATCCAAAACTCTTTGAAAGGAAGCTGAGGCAGGTGTTCAGAATCAAAGACATCACATATGCTCAAGCCAGGATTTGCACATAAACTTCGTTGGGATGACCTGCTTATGCTGCTGGGTTACCTCACTGTGAGATTTTAAGGCACCTAATTTCTTTTTCACCGAGTCACTTGGCAAACCCTTCTGAAAAGGATAGGACACAGTAATCAAAGAATTTACTAAAATACAAAATAATCTTGCTTTGAATTTTGTATCATCCACCTATGACCTTTGTTTCACCCCCAGTTTCCTCTTTTTTTTGTATTTTTGTGTTTTCTTTCACTCCTAATCACTGAAATGGTATCAGTGTACATGTGCGCAAATGCATGTTCCTGCTAGATTACTGAGACAGAAGTTTGAGGAGTTTTGATTATTCAACTTGAGAGGTATTCATGACCCTGACTTAAATGGAAGCATGATTTAAAGAACGTTTGTGACATTTGGGAAGTCAGATCATATTTGCTAATCAGTTTGGAGACATTTAAAAGTAGATTAGGAAGCTGTGTTTCTAACCACTTCAGAGAGTACCCATCATTATCTCCCTCTTTCTTCCCCTTGGTACGTGTGTGCAGAGGAGGAGACGTCTCATGACACACCACATTCACTCTTGCAGCCCTGGACTGCAGAAAAGTTCACTGGTGTTTATAGGATGTTTGTGGTGACCCTCGGGATACACTCTCGTAATGAATTTCAGACTGTCTACCCAAGCCTTTTGACTATCTGTCCAATCTCCCCGAATTCTTAACCTCACACTTCCTCCTACTGCACGTCCTTCTGGGAGACACTGGATACTTGGGATGAAACGTTTTAAAGCCAGTGCCCACAGCCTTGTCTGTACATTCAACACTAGATCTTACATAGTTGTTTATTTTAGCGTAAATCTCCACCCCCTTCACTTGCTCACAGGAAGGGTTTTTCTTACAGATCTCAGCCCTGCACTTGAGAGAAATCTTCCTTCTTTACTTTTTCTGGGTCTTCTTTTTTTCCTCACAACAAGAGAGAACACCGTAGGAACAGGTTCAGATCTTGTTTCACTGAGATACAAGGAAAAATAGGGTTTTTTCCTGCTACTATGTTCATCCGCAGAGTTAATTATTATCATTTAAAAAAGAAATTGCCCCTACACCTGCATTTCTTCAGAAAGCCAGCCTTTAGTAAGCTGACCTAATAGAAATTGGAAGCCCTAAGTAACCCCTTGGCTGATTCATGATTTATCTATGCCAGCGTAAAGTGCTCCACATATTAGCTGGAGGAAATACACTTCTAGTTTGTAATCTTGATGAATAGTTATCAAATTTATATATTTTTAATGCTCATTTTAGTCATTCATCATTATTTTGAAGACCTTTTACAAATACTGCCTTGAAACTTCTGATGAGTGATGTATTTATAAAAGGAAAGCTGCCCAAAGGGGCAAAGTTAGAAAGAAAATTCCCTTAAAGAAAAAAGCCAATGCCATCCCACCAGACAAATGAACACCAGCACTGGACAAAACAGACTGCACATAAAACACATTAACATTGCAAGTGGTTTGCTCTGGTCATGTTCCATGCTTATTTTAAAAGTATCTTATGAACCCAAAGCTACTGAACAGAACGGGAGTGTATGAAAAGGAAGCTTTACTGTGAAAACGAAGCACTTATGTGGAAATGATTATTCCTATGCAGAGGCCTACTTATTTTTTTCCTTAATAATCATTCTTAAGGCATGGACCAGCATCACCCAATTTCAGCAGACTGCTATAAGCATCAATAATCTGTATGATCAACTAGTAGGCTTTTTAAACCAATAAAAATGCATTGCCTTCTAAAGCAGTGTTATTTTTTTCTGTAAAGGACATGTATTTGAATGGGCTTTACTGCCTTTTTGCTTCTAAAGCAAATGATGGCATGAGAAGGACAACAATGCTGAATAATCCAGCACGATATTTAGGTCTCTGCCAAAAAAATCACATTTAACCTATTTCTGGATATGAAAGATAGAATTTCTAAGCACAGAGTGGTGGAGGGGTTTTCAAACGGTTCTTTTCAGGGAACACTTTGCTACCTGATATTTAAAAGGTGGCGGTAAATAACTCTAAATCATTCTCCCTTAATCAGCTCTACAATAACAGGGAGAGAAGCTCAGACATTAAGAAGGGCTTTTTTCTCCTTCACCAAGAATAATGAATTGGTGAAATGACCTCAGGGGCAAAGTTGTTGGGACAAGGCAGAAGGTCAGTCAAAGAGCAATTAAATGCTGTCCTGTGGGAAAATGGTAAGTGCAGTCTCGAAGAGTTAGCTGAAAAGGGCTAAGAGTAAAAAAAGGTAGAGGAGAATATTCCCCTTGCAGCACCATTATGTAGTCTCATGGTCTTTCAGGAAGAAGCCACAGAACAGGAGGTCTATTACGACTGTAATAAATACTGAGTTATCAGAGTAAGGGGGAATTTGGATATAAACTCCACGTGGATTTAAAGCACAAGCTCATTACTTTCACCTCTCACAAACTGTGTAATAAGCCAATGCACGAGTCCAGGACATCAGTCAGCTGTAGCTTTTCATGTTAGCATGCCACAAGCAGATAGCTGCCAGCAGAAGTTTGCTCTGTCTCAGTCTCTTGAATCTCAGTGGCCTTGCCAAAGACAGCATCCACAACTCCAGAATTGAAAAGCATAATGCAATAGCAGACACTGCTTCTGCTGTGAGGGAGAGGCTAAAAGCAAGTCAGCCTCATTTACACCGAATTTGCTCGCCCTAGATTACACCTATGCAGTGTTAGGAAATACCAGAACTACGTAGACAAAGTTCATGAGGACTCCAAAGTCTGAGCCTGCAATTATGTGGCAGTATCTATGCTAGTATATCAGTGCAAGGACTGTTCATGCAGACACAAGTCCAATCAGCCAAGCTGTTAGAGCTGTTCCTGGCCATTTACAGTGGCCTGATCCAGCTAAAGCTACCTCTTTCCTTTCATCTTGGACATTACCTAAAAAACAGCATGTCAGAGAGCACCCACAGCCACCCTGAGAGGCTTGGGGTTCAGACATCTCAGTGACCCCTGTTGGCCCCATTGCCAAGGAGGGGTTTTCACACTTGTAGTCTACCTGTGCAGGCACAGTTAGAGACTCTCTGGGGGATAAGGCATTATGAATTCTGGTCTGAAGGCAAGATTAACCTCTACACGTATAGAGGGATTATTCTGCCTCCCTGTGATGAGAAACATAGGGCAAGAGCAAAAAATTCCACCGGTTCTGGAGATTGGGCCTTTGGAGTTTTGGGTTAGTTTTTTATTTGTTTGGGGTTTTTAAGTATTCTGGATGACCTGCAAATCTTTCATATTAGTAACTCTGATATAGGACTGTCTAAAAAAATGCAGCCACACAGCATTACTTTAAAGTTGACGGATAGCAGGATGGCAAGAACACAATACCCTAGTACCACCACTGTACTACCTCTAGGTGATGAACAAGTCTAGCTCCCTCCAGCCACCAACTCTATTTAGATCCACAAACCTAGAATCAGGTTAAGAGAAGCCTGCTGCTCAGGCAAGGTAGCGCATTCTGTTACTTTCAGCCTAGCACAGAGACTCTGATCTAAAAAATAACTTCAACAGTGTAAAGATTGGTTTAAGCTGCAAAACCCACTTGAGAAGAAATGCATATACAGAAGCTGTGACTGGTTCTCTTGTGAGCAGCTAGCAAGGCCTGAATGAAATTAGGTCAATATCATACTGATATGCTTCAAAAGCTCTGGGTTTCATCAAATCAGTTAATACTTGGAAGAATGAGTATAGCTACACTTGGGATTAGCAGAACCCGGACAACGTATTTATGCAAGCATTAGATTTCTCCCCATTTCTGCTCCCCACCCAAAGTAAAACTAAACTAACAAAAAAATACATGGCACAGTATTCCCAGCAAGTTTCTTCCTTCCCATGGAAAAGAAGAAGGTGACCCAGGAACTCTTTAATTGAGCTACTCACTAAGTTATCCCCGCTAAAATTTCAGGAGCAGACAGGCATCTGAAGAGACAGATGGTTACCTGAATGCTGCTAAAATTCCTGCCAGGTTCTCCGTGGTCTTACATCTTCCATTTTACTTCCCCACCATTTTTCTGGTGAAGGATACATCAGCCTCATATTATTCCAATCCTTCAGTATCAGACTAGCCCACTATCACTCCCACCTATGACCTAGAAAACCCTACTTATTAAGATTTATCTTCATAGTTGCACACTTCAGTATATATTTGCCAATGCACATTCACAACTTCAGGTTTTCTAGATTTCTGAAATTTAAAAACAATTTAAAAAATAGCACAGGAAGTAACCAACAAACAAATCCAAACTCACTCTATTAGCTGAGCTCCCTACAAAAGCCTAAACAGGAATCCTCCTAAACAAAAATCCAGACTCTCCCTGCCAGCACTCAATCCAGCTTCATCTGTTTCCTTTTCCTTTTTCTAATCCTCTTTTATGCCCATCAGCTGGTCTCTTTAGTGTAACATTGCCCAGCTGCATCTTTATCACTACTACTTAACCCCTTATTGTCTGGCTTTATACTTGTTTATGTATAGAAGAGGACAGAAGCAAAGACCTATGGTTTGTTATGGGTAGTCTTATCTGAATTACCGTTTTTAAAAAATACCCTGAAATACAGACAATTTTCTCTCATTTTTTTAGTACTTATAAGAAGAGAATAAACAAAAAAACTTCAACAGTGTTTTTGGATAGATAGTAAATAACCTTAGATCTGAACTATGAGCATAAGATCTGAGTGCCAAGCTAGCCAATGCTTACTCACAAGCTGGTGATGCCTTCAAAAACAGGGTAACTTAATCACAGATTTGGCTGCTTGAGGTTATAAGGAATTCAGTTTGTTAGTCTCAATGTGTTATTTACTTACAAAATTCTTCCTTTCTTTGCTTATGTTACAGATTTAACAAGTAGAAGATAATCATAACCAGTTATTAGAATATACTTGGACAATGGATTTCAGAGCTTTTCTTATGTGTTGAGAATTCTCTAGAAAATTTAGGTCCAGATAGGCTCTTTCCTGGGAGGAACCATGTAAGTGGTTGTTTGAAGTAGCCCTGTATTTTAATTGTACTGTAGTCTGTTCACACTAGCAGGGAAGTAAACATTTCACATATTGCTGTAAAGCATTGACTTCTCATATCATTTTCACTTTATTGTAAGGATTTTATTAGTAATTCAGCAAGAGATACTATAGCAAATGCATTAGATACTTGTTATTTGATTAACCTAACAATTGAGTAATTAGATGAGGTGAGATGTGAGGTTTTGTCCATGGGATATGAGTATTTTAAAACTGACCCCAGACTCTTAAGGGAAGTCTCGGGTAGTTATGTAACTTGGAAATTTTCAACACCAAGTCACTCCACACCTGACAGTGATTCATTCTTGGGTGCAGTATTAATTTTCTGGGGTTTAGTATTATGTCACGCTGTCTCTCTCTGTTTGTATTTTGACAATGCTAGGATGTAGGGGCTCTGGAGCTCAGACAGTCTTTTCATCAATTCTCCAGGGTACAGGGGAGGACCTAAAAAAACCTAGGAGGATTAGCCAGGTTAATAACTGGTTAAAAGGGTGGTGTCATAGTCAGGGGTTTGGGTGTCTTGAACACAGGACCCAGGTTTGTAGGCCAGGTCTAGTGGGGGCTGGTGGAGCTGGTCTGACAAAGAAGGGAAAGAGCAGTTTTGGTAGGAGGCTTGCCAGACTGGTCAAGGAGGCTTTAAACTAGATGTGCTGGGGAAGGGGGGCATCATTCCATTGCAACACACCCAGTCAGTTGCCAGAACCTATAATAAATGCTTGGAGCAATGTAGAGATATCCCAGCCGCTCCAGCCAGTGAGCCAGCTTCATTTGGAGCTCAGCTCAGATGCCTCTATACAAATGCCCATAGCATGGGGAACAAACAAGAGGAATTAGAGATGTGTGCACGTCTATGGGGGCATGATATAATAGGCATCACAGAAACATGGTGGGATGGCTCCTATGACTGGAGTGTTGGAATGGAAGGTTACAGGCTCTTTAGAAAAGACAGGCCTGGCAGGCGGGGAGGGGGAGTTGCCCTTTATGTTAAGGATAGGCTGGAGAGTATGGAACTCTGTCAGGGTTAAAGGGAAAATAGCTTTGGGGGACATTACTATGGGGATCTGTTACAGACCGCCTGATCAAGGAGAACCTGCGGATAAAGCACTCCATAGACAGATAGGAAAAGCCTCACGCTCGCAGGCCCTTGTTCTCATGGCTGACTTCAACCACCCTGACATCTGTTGGAAGGACGGTACGGCCCGGCACAAGCAATCCAGGAGGTTCCTCGGTTGTGTAGAAGACAACTTCCTTCTGCAAGTAATAGAGGAGCTGACAAGGAGTGGTGCCATGCTTGACCTTGTGCTCACCAACAGGGAAGGGCTCGTTGGAAATGTGACTCTCCAGGGCAGCCTTGGATACAGCGATCATGAGATGCTCGAATTTGAGATCCTCAGGACAGTGAGAAGAGCGTGCAGCAAGCTCACTGCCCTGGACTGCAAGAGAGCAGACTTTGGCCTCTTCAGGAACCTGCTTCGGAAGGTTCCATGGGATACAGCCCTAGAGGGCAGAGGGGCCCAAGACTGTTGGTTGATATTCAGGGATCACCTGCTGCAAGCTCAGGAGTGTTGCATCCCAACCAGAAGGAAGTGCAGCAGGAGGGCCAGGAGACCTCCTTGGATGGATAAGGAGCTGCTGAGGAAAATTCAATTGAAAAAAGAGGCTTATAATAAGTGGAAGCAAGGACAGGTGGCATGGGAAGAGTACAGGGATGTTGCCCGGGAAGCTAGGGACCAGGTTGGGAAAGCTAAGGCCCAGTTAGAATTAAACTTAGCTAGAGGTATTAAAGATAACAGGAAGGGATCCTACAGGTACATAGCAAATAAAAAACAGACTAGGGAGAATGTAGGCCCCCTCAGGAAGCTCTCGGGAGAACTGGTTACATGGGATTTGGAGAAGGCTGAGGTTCTGAATGACTGTAGGAGAGGAACTGGTTTGAGACCATCTTAAAAATCTGAACGCGCACAAGTCCATGGGTCCTGATGAAATCCACCCACAAGTCCTGAAGGAGCCGGCAAATGAAGTTGTGAAGCAGCTGGCCATCATATTTGAGAAATCATGGCAGTCAGGTGAAGTTCCTGACAACTGGAAAAAGGGAAATATAACCCCCATTTTCAAGAAGGGGAAAATGGATGACCCGGGGAATTACAGACCAGTCAGTCTCACCTCTGTGCCTGGCATAATCTTGGAGCAGATTCTCCTGGAAAGCATGCTAAGGCACATGAAAATCAACAAGGTGCTTGGTGACAGCCAGCATGGCTTCACTAAGGGGAAATCCTGCCTGACCAATCTGATGGGCTTCTATGATGGGGCTACAGAACTGATAGACAGGGGTAGAGCAGTTGATGTCATCTACCTGGACCCGTGTAAAGCATTTGACACTGTCCCACACGACATCCTTGTCTCTAAATTGGAGAGACATCAATTTGATGGATGGACCACTCAGTGGATAAAGAACTGGCTGGATGGCCGCACACAAAGAGTTGTGGTCAATGGCTCAATGTCTGGCTGGAGACCAGTAACGAGTGGTGTCCCTCAGGGATCGGTGTTGGGACCGGTCTTGTTCAACATCTTCGTTACTGACATGGACAGTGGGATTGAGTGAGCCCTCAGAAAGTTTGCCCATGACACCAAGCTGTGTGGTTCGGTTGATACGCTGGAGGGAAGGAATGCCATCCAGAGGGACTTTGACACGCTTGTGAGGTGGGCTGATGCCAACCTCATGAGGTTTAACCATGCCAAGTGCAAGGTCCTACACCTGGGTTGGAGCAATCCCAGGCACAGCTACAGGTTGGGCAGAGAAGAGATTCAGAGCAGCCCTGCAGAGAAGGACTTGGGGGTGTTGGTTGATGAGAAAATGAACATGAGCCAGCTTCAGTGTGCGCTTGCAGCCCAGAAAGCCAACCGTATCCTGGGCTGCATCAAAAGAAGTGTGACCAGCAGGTAGAAGGAGGTGATCCTGCCCCTCTACTCTGCTCTTGTGAGACCTCACTTGGAGTATTGTGTGCAGTTCTGGTGTCCTCAACATAAAAAGGACATGGAACTGTTGGAACAAGTCCAGAGGAGGGCCACGAGGATGATCAGGGGACTGGAGCACCTCCCGTATGAAGACAGGCTGAGAAAGTTGGGGCTGTTCAGCCTGGAGAAGAGAAGGCTGCGTGGAGACCTCATAGCAGCCTTCCAGTATCTGAAGGGTGCCTACAAACATGCTGGAGAGGGACTCTTCATTAGGAACTATAGTGATAGGGGTAACGGGTTAAAACTTAAACAGGGGAAGTTTAGGTTGGATATAAGAAGGGAATTCTTTCCTGTTAGGGTGGTGAGGAATGGGTTGCCCAGGGAGGTTGTGAATGCTCCATCCCTGGCAGTGTTCAAGGCCAGGTTGGATGAGGCCTTGGGTGATATGGTTTAGTGTGAGGTGTCCCTGCCCACAGGGAAATACAATCCTGGCCCTGAGGGTATCAGCTTTTGCTTCTTATTCTGTAAAGATTCATTCATTTGCTTAATATGTGGGTTATGAAAGGTCATTTTTGCCCACCACAACAGTTTTCCTAACATGCAGGGTAAATCCAGGTATAAATATAAGCAGAAGATAGCCAGAGCTACCGGCTGGACTGAGCTTTAACTAAAAACTGCTGTTTGGAGATTTGCATATTTTTAACCATCAGAGTACTTGAAGCCAGGCTTTATTTTCATGAGACTTCAGCAATGTTCTCAGTAATCTAAGTTGAACATTCTCAAGTTATTCTGAAAGCAAGTCAGTGCAAAGATGTGTTTTTCATGTATAGGTCCTGACTTGCTGATTTTTAGGCATCTGGGTGTGATTTTTTTTTTTACATCGTTTTTCCCTCTGAACTGTACAAACCCCCATATAAACAAGAGAGTGCTGACCATCTTAACATGTATAATGGTGACCTTTCTATATACAAAATGCTCTCAAATGTATAATAAAAGAATTTAAGAAAGAAATATATGTCTTAGCTATCTAAATTATCAGCATTTTTAGTTGTAAGATAAATGTTATGTTTGTTATGTTTATCTTGTGTTCTAGATAACTAAGGAGTTATACTAAAATCTTTAAATAAACTGAATTTAATCCCAATCAAAAAGTCACGCTTTGAGTCAGATGTGATGTCAACTTTGAAATAACAGTGTTTCATTATGAGGTATTGTTTATGTTTTATAGAGTTCATAGGATCTTTGTGAAAGCAAAAATCATGAAAGCTCCTTTTTGAAAGCATTTACGTGTGTTATATTTAGAGCTAAGCTTTTAGTTGCTTTCTGC